ATTTTCATGTGTTTCCTTTTTCTGTTTCTAAGTCTCCCTTTTTTCTTACAAATTTTTGTTCTGTTTCTGGAAGAAAAATATAACGAGACTTCCCCAGTTGCTATTACACAGTCCACAATATATGACCATTTACCCTGAATAAAATTTTGACTGTAACTCTATCCCTCTCAGAGGTACAAACTCCAAGCTCTGCTTACCTGTCAAGATAGCTCTCAGTCTGATTACTGCTGGTGGTGTATAAAGCACTCATGTGCAGTGTGCAGTGATGCAATGCCCTGGCCCACATTGGATTCACAGTACCAGAAGAGATATAGAGGAAACCACCACTTTCACTCATTACCCATTCAAGAGATAGTGAAGCTTGAATGGTACTGTGTCATACTTTGAGATCAGTGCAAAAACATGCATCTTCACCTGCTTGCTGCCTTTTGAAAATACTGCTGATTTCAAAGATCTCTTCTCACTGCTCACCTTATTGCTTCTCTCATTCGCTAAAGGCTAACACCAAGGGTAAAAGATTATCATCTTAGAATATGCTTCTATACGTCCTGTGTGACAGTGTGTGAGGTTCTAGCTGATCAGACAGTGAAGGCATGCATGCAGTGTGTGAAGGAAGCAGAGTTCTTACTGGGGTTAGCAGGAATCAAGAACAGTTCATTTGATTTTGAACTTTGTAATTCGTAGCAACTACAAGAAAGGTTGGCATAATTGTATTCCTAATTACAATGCAGATGGAAATATTAAAGAAATAATGCCAGCTGCTCAGTCCGCTATTTAAAGATAGGGCAAGAAGAACTAGTTTTTTTTTTCCAGGATATTGAATTATATCTCTTAATTAAAATGTCTTCCATGACAATAAATTAGCAAATTATTTCTGTGTAACTAGTGATAGTAGCCCAAATCATTTTCTACCACTGGCTAGCCAGAGCAAAATAAACTTTGCAGCCTGAAGAAAAGTTAGCAATTCCAGATCACTTTCCACAGATTTGAGAGGGAAGAAAGGGTTCCCATTTGGAGGAATTTAATTGGAGGAAAGTGTGTTGGGGTAAGTGAGAAAAATGTGTGCACTGTGCCCTGAGACATCAGTAATGACTTTCAGTGGGGTGTTATAAATATTTAATGTGTTCCACAGGGAAAATCACTAACTTGTAATGTTTGCCAATTTCCATGGTGAAAATACTCCCTCGGTGGTCAATTTCAAGCTATCAACGTATGTCACTAAGCAAAAATTTGGAAGAGTTCTATTCAGTTGTCAGAAGCTTGTTGAATAGTCTATTACATTTTTTTTTGTTCTTGGATTTAAAATAATCCTTCACTTGTTAATAACAGGTTTAGAAGATCTTAATACACCTCCATTGTTCAGTAGGTGAGATCTCAGGGCAGCCTACAGGACAGCAAAATCTGGATCTTCTCCTTCCTAGTTATGTATATTTTGGGCACAAAATGTAAGTTCTCTGTGTATTAGTTCCCTTATCTTCAAGGTAAACATGATAAGAAAATTATAATACTATGGCTATCATTCATACAGGAAATGAACTTTAAATACTATTAAGTTACCTAGAGTACTGTTAACAGTAATTAAGACTACCTACAAGTTTTTTTCATGCGTCTATATCTGGTTTAGGAGTGGCTGAGCCTTGAGATAATACCAGAGAAGCACTATATTGAAGTTAATGCTAGTGAAAGAGAATTTAGATCAAGAAAGGAAAACAAAACAATTTTGGAAGCACAGCAGTCCATTAAGTAGGCCTTTTCCCAAGTATTTAAGAAATGTTGCAAATAACTTTGTTTTCATCTTAGTGCATGATTTTGCACAGCTCTGCGATTTAGTGCTGAATTTTAGGAGCTTAAGTTGTGTTATCCATACCTGGTTTTGCTTACCATCTTATATATCTTTTGAAATACATCATGTATTTCCAATGTAACCTTAAGTCTTAAACCAATATGTTTTGGTATTAATAAAGCTTTTATGATTAAAATTTCCATGTTTTCTTCTTAGTGACTGATACTATCTGTTTCTGCCTTTCCATTACAACCAAGGAAAAATGCAGCAGATTTGAATTTCCTTTACACTTTCTGCTGCTGCAATTTTCTGTAAGAATGCCAATCTCTATTCTAAGCAGGTGCATTCACTTTGGACAAAGAACACCTATTGAAAATTTCAACTTAATACAAAAATTTAAAAAACAATTGGAGGCTATGCACCGATCAAATAATAAGAGTAGGTATATTCAAGGAATAAAGAGAGTGATGAGTGTTGGTTGCTTGAAAACGAACCAGAATATGAATTTCCAAAGTGAAAATTGTATTTTTTCTAAATCTCAGTCTATGCTGTTTAGATAAGAATGGTTTCTCTGACTTCTAGGATAGTAGTAATTTAGTCAAGGCCAGGATTATTTTTTAATGTTCTCACTGATGCAAGCAGTGTACTTTAAAAATCCCTGTAGATGGAAAATAAGAGATGTTTTATTTTCCACTTCAAGGCTTCTTAATCAACAAATCACTTACTGTCTTCCCAATTTCTTAGCATATTGCTCTTCCACTATTCTTTATTCAAATTTTGATCCATATAGTAAAAAAAAGTAGTTTTTCTAAAGTATCTACATAATGAATAATTTAAGATTAAATTCTTACTTTGGTAGCATACTAATATGGCTAAATGGAAAATTGACTGTAGGGATTTTATGTTGCAATCTCAGGTTATTGGAGTCTTGCTACTTAAAAGTCAAGTCCCATGTGTAGAGAAGATGGATGGAAGCTATCCTAAAACTAGAAGGAAGATACAAACACACACACACACACACACACACTTACACAAATATGGCATTTAAAAATTTATAATGAGCATGATTTTTCATTATCTAACAAAGACAAAGTTACATATTTTATAAAAATAAGATCTCAAAGGGATAGTATTTTTGGGTATTTAAGTGTTGTTGAAACTTGCATGCTATCTGAATGATTTTAGAATTGTAAAGTTTCATTGTTAAGACGATTATTCACTTTTTTATTATTGACATTTAAACAGATAATGGTATTATATTTATGGAAAGATAAGAATAAAAATGTTTATCTCTTGGAATAAACTCCAAATGGTTCATTGACTTTGGTTCACCACGGAAAAAATCATTTAACTCCTAGGGTCAGTTTGCCCATCTGTGAAATGAGAAGGGTGATATTTTCTTACGGGGATGTTTTGAAAACTGTTTTGCAAATCCAGTGGAAGAAATTGATGCAAACACCAGTGATTTTTTTTTCCATGTCTTCAAAAAATCAGACAATATCGTTTATGTCCCAGTTGATGATCAAAATGTCATCTGGGTTGAATCAAATTATTACCTCCAGATTTTTCTATATTTACAATGTATCAAAAGTAGGGAATCTATGAAAAGTGTTCTAAAACATTCTGGGCTTCATGAGCTATTAATCTGTAATAATTATTCCTTCATTTTTTGGTCTTAGCCTATGTATGCAATTTTTCTTTTTTAGTATGGTTTTTATCTCACCTCACTTCATAAGATTGATAGTTTCTCTGTGTCTCTCTGGCAGAGGTCACCTTAGAGCTGAAGGCAAAACACATCCCTCTATGGCTCCTGTTGACTTTCAAGTAAACTATCAAAGAATTTTTTCCAGGCATCTCCTAACCTCAATTTTGAAACTCCACCCTAAAGATCACAGCGAGATATTCAGGGGGGTTGCCATAGTGACACTGATAGGTTGGCATTGAGAAGATAAAGCTATGGATATCAGATTTTTAAATTTGATAGCTTTAATTATATAACATGGTCATGAACCTCTGTGCTTGTGTCATTTATGTCTGGAAAGAAATTTTCCCTTCAGCCTCCTCTGTCTTTTCTGGCGCCAATCAACAAGCTTCTTGGTCATAAGATTTTTTTATGTCAATAGCTCCTGCACTGCTTCAAGTGGTGCTTGTGGTAATTGACAGAATCATTACAAAACTAAAGAAGAAATGGGAAATATACTTCAGGGGTGTGATTCAGCCATTCTAATGTTCTTGCATATGTAAACTGGCCTTGATGTATGAACTATCCTGCTCACATATCCTGACTCTAAGAAAGCTCTTTCTACCTTTGTTGCTCAGGGCTTATCTTTCCACAATGGCCTGGCAGAGTTTATCTCCAGATAATTTTGCAGCAGTAAAAAATTTTGTCCTCTGTTACTATGAGAATGGATTTTTTGTTAACCACTAGAAATGCACTGATTGATTGCATTTGTTGCATTAATTAGCCCAGTAGATTAATATGACACATATAAGGTAGAAAACTTGGTAAGGCACATTGACAAGGGTCATTTAAGAAAGAATCTGTAACTTTCAGATTATAAAATAAATCTATGTTCATTAGAGAATATTAACAAGAATATTACCTTTATCTGGTGAACTGGGATAATCACTTCAATGTTCTTATGATTGTGCTACAATGTAAATATTTCTTAAGAGATAGTTGCATTGTTTTACCTAACACATTTTTAATTTCTGCAAACAACTGTGTCTATAATACAGCTTCATAAAAAATGAGTCTCTTTTGATTCCCTTATGCAGAAATTGAATCTAAAATTCTAGTGTTCATATTTCTTAAACTTTATTCAGAATTATAAAATCTAAATGGAGGTATTTTTTTTTCTTCTGTTTTAGAGTGTTCAGTTCTTCCAAAAGTATTACACAAAGCCAAGGATAATTAATGATCATTATGCTTCTATTTGAATAAATGTCTTTATTCATACTTACTGTTTTTTTTTTTAAAGGATATATTTTGGAACTTTTAAGAAAGTAAAAAGGAATTCCATTGTTACGACAATAGTGGTTGTCCTTTGTTAAGAATTTTCAATTATCTTTTTGTCTTTTGTAAAATATAGTTTTGTTGCTGTTTGATTGGTTTATATTTTATTTTAAGTGAGAATTTATGTTCAACAGAAGTCTTGGGAAGTTAATAAATTTATAACTTTCATTTAATCATCACTCTTTTGAATCTCCTTTTTAGGTAGCCAAGGGCAGTTTCCATTAACGCAGAATGTAACTGTTGTTGAAGGCGGAACTGCAATTTTGACCTGCAGAGTTGATCAAAATGATAACACCTCCCTCCAGTGGTCAAATCCAGCTCAACAGACTCTGTACTTTGATGACAAGAAAGGTGAATATATTTTCATTTAAATATTCTAATCATATTCTGATATATTCTAATTATAATGAATGTACTTTTTCTGAGATCATTCAAATTAGCCTTTTTGATTATGAAACTAATGCTGCTTTTATTTAAACATGTTAAATATTAAATACTTCAGTTTGCAAGTCATAAACATTAACAATCACCTATGTCAACTTTTTAATAAACAGAATTATTCTATTTCAAAAGTAGTTTTAAGCTTCTTTCTAAAAAATGCTGTATTTTCCTTCTTAAGCTGACTTACATAGATATAGAATATATTTTACTTAGTTCTGGAGTAGAATGCTATTTTGGTTGATTTCATATATTTTGGAGATGCTATATTATTTTTGAAAGTTTGATGTTTTATGTTCACAAATAACAAATCATGATAAGATCTCTAGACTATGAGATAAAGAAATTCTGTGTTTTCAAAATATGCTGAAATTAACTAATAAGAAGTAACTAATTGAAATGGAATTAAATTGATTAATTATAAATCATAATTTAATAACAGATTTTGATTAATCTTCATTTAAGTAGCAGGAAAATTTAAAAATGTAATTCAAAATCTTTGTCTCAGAACAACAACATGTTATAGCCTCAGAAGAAAAAATGAGTGCATTAATGATATTGAAAATATTAAGTTGTTTGTTAAATAAATTTAAATCATACAAAATATAAATCTATTCATATTTTAACTGTTCAGTATAGTTTTATTACCTGGGTTTCTTTTCTTTATAAGTAATATTGAGATAATTTATATCAGTTTCATTTTAACCACAGAATGCACTCAATTATAATGGAGTACATATTCCCGCTTTAACGTGCACTATGGAAGGACGTAGCAGTACAGTGACTGGAGTTGTCACTTGGTGTAACTGAATTCCTGTAACAGAGAGTCTTGTTTTCAATGATTGTGGACATTGGAAATGTTGAAATCTCCAGGGCAGATTTTCACTTTAGATGCCAAGGGTAGAAATTATGTTACAATTCAAGCCCAAAGGTAAAGGACTCTAGATTTTCTCTGAAGCCATCAGCTAACTGGAAGAGATATGTCTACCTTACAGAGAAACCCATTTTGTTCAAATGTTGCTGTATGTTAAAGTTGTTGTTTCCTCTTCTACTTTTTTTTTTCCTCCTGAAGGGTAATTATAAAAAAAAAAAAATCCATGCTGCATTTGGAGTATTTGGCAATGAATTACTGCATGTTTCTACTGCCATAAGACCTAAATACATCTGATCAAATAGTTCTGCCCCTCCCCTTTCTCTTCCTCCTGCTCTTTTCCAACCTCCTTCTTCTCCCCTTGCCTTCATCCTCTCGTTTTCTTATCATCTGCCTTCCTCCTTATTTCCTCTTTGTCCCCCCTGCTCAACTCCATGCTTCCCCTCTACCAATAATCATGTCAGTTTAGAAATCCAACTTTAGGGAAAACAGCTCTATATCACAGTCTTTTATTCAACTTATATTTAAGATTGAAAAAAAAAAATGTTGAAACATCCCAATACTGGTGCACATTGCTGAAGGTGTCTGGAGAACTCTTCAGACAATTCTTCTTGTGTAGTTAGCACTAAGAATCACTGGATGCATAATCTGAAACTGAAATAAGAGTCGTTGTGTAAATGAAGTTTTTAACTACAGCACTTGCAGAAGCTATAGTCATTTGGGAAACAGGCATTCCATTTTCTCCCTTGCAACTTTGTCCGATGTTCATCTGCACAAGTATGGTTGCTGCAGTCTCTGTAACCAAAGTTTAACTTTTGCTCTTTGGTTCCGACATAACTCAGACTGCTTTTACATTCAAGCTAAGACTGGGCAGGGCCTTCAGTGGGGTGTAACAGGTTAATCTGCCCATTGTAATGCTAGTATCCAATATGTACTCTGTTTCAAGTTGCCACTGCAGTACTACTAATCCAGCATGATTGTGATGTACCTGGGAAAGCAGCAAAGGCGGCTCAAGTATGGGACCCTTGATTGGGTGCCTAAGCCCTAAGGGAAGGCTTGGTTGAAGTTCCTGGTTTCTAGCTTAGGTCTGTTTCACTCCTGGACAATTTGTCCATTTTGGAAGTAAACCAACAGATGGAGGATCAATCTCTCTCTCTCTCTCCCTCTCTCTCTCTCTTTTTCACTCTCTCTCTCTTTCTTCTTCTTCTTTTTGACTACATCTCTTTATCCCTCTTTGTAGCTCTGCTACAGAGAGATTTACTTATTTATTCTAAATACATAAATGCTTTTTTACATATGAAAAAGAGAAGACATGGGATTTTTAAGAGATTAGACAGATAAACACAGAAAGTAGAATTAGATGGAAGAACTGTAATATGGACAATTTAAAAAAATCTTTCATTTTGAATTCCTTATATTTGATAGACATTATTTATCAGAAATTCTTGAGACCAATATGTTGCACAGGAATTGAACCATTAACATGTGAGGGAATAAGAAAATCAGATTATAATTCATTGAAAAGTATATTGATTTAATATTTTTTATTATTTTACATCAGTTGATTACTAGGAACTGAACAAAACGAAGGGAAAAAAGAAACAAGAGTGCCAAAAATCTACCATACTATACACACGTACACGCAAACACAAGCATGACAATTCACAGAAGGAAAGAAGGAAGAAGGAGGGAGCCAGCTTCTCAGGAAAACAGCAGGTGCCACACACCGCCCATTGCTAGTGCAGTTATCCACTCCAAGACACTATGAGTAGCCTTTTGTACTACATAAGGTTGCAGAACTATAAGGGTACTGACTGGGAGAATAAGCAAATTCAGAGTAGCAATTCACTGGCTTTATTAGAATTGGCAAAGTCTTGTTTTATTGATGCTATAAGCAGATGTATGCTGTGAGTAGACAACTGGTGGTCAACTAAAGATTTAAGCTAAACACGCCTTCTTAGGTGTCTCTGTCAAAAAACTTGGATGTGAATAATTAAGAATCTCCTAATTTATTGGATATTGTTCAGTAAGGTGATACTAGTACTGTCATATTTTTTTGACTCAGGGAAAATAAAATAGAAGGCATCAGATTCAGGCTTATGTTACTTTTTAGAGGTTTAATGTGAACATAGATTTTCCTATTTATAGCTGTTACAAAATCGAGGGTCAAGCACTTAAAGAAATTTGTAGATATTAGCAGACACACCAAAGCCTGGAGTTAAGCATTATGACCTTTTATTTTCATTTATTTGTGTATTTATGTATGTATTTATTTATTATTATTTATTTATTGGCATGAATCTCACTACTGTATTAGAGATAGTAGAAAGTGTTTGGAGAACAGTAGATACAAAGAGATAGAGGAAAAAGTAAAAGCCATTGCAATGCCACTTGAATGCTGTGTGATATTTTGAAACAGAAATTTTAAAAAACCAATTACATCATTTTGTAACTTCTCTGTAGGTATAGTGGATAAAAGCAATTGTCATGCAAAAACTGATCACTTCATACTTGGGAGGAACAATTTCTTCCTGTTACAAACACTTTTAACTATCATCTGCGAGAAGATATACTCAACACACACAATCTCTGTGTGCCAGTATTTGTTTTTATATAAAACTGTAAGACATGTTACTTCTGTGATAGTTTCCTTTACAGCAGTTTTGCTTTCTGAATTATTTTTCATTGGCCCTAAAAATCATCTGAAGGATGAAAATAACCCATTAGGGGTATAGCCTAAATTATCAGTGTTAATTAGGAAATTATTCTGATAATAATTTTGCATTGCTGCTGGGAACAATGGGAGGGGAATAATATGTTCTAAAGCAAGAAGTGGTAATGAAAAAAAAAAAAAGATGAGATTCACCTAAAATGGAGCACCTTGTCCTGGCTCCAAACCAGTTTATACTGCCTGGAAGTATCTATTTCCACAACTAGTATCAATCACATTGACAGACATTAAAACATTAAAGATTAGCTCACTGAAGTGAAGCTAAAAAGCTGATACTACACTTCCTTATGTTTTCTTTTAGAAAACCAACTATTAGAGGCATATGCACAGCAAAGGCTTGCAATTAATGACAGTTACACCACACTGGATAATAGTTAAATAAAGCTAAAAGTATTAAATGACTTTCAACATTGTAACTCAATAATCCTATATTGTAGGAATGTCTACTTATGCATGAAGAGACTAAGGTTTATGCATGTTAATATCCTGAGTCATAAATGAAGCAATGATGAGTTTTTTGCAAGTCTAATTTACTTCATGTATTTCTTTCTATTTTAGCATTTTGTTTTATTTTACTTTACTCATTTTACTTTTAAGAAGAAAAACTTATGGTTTATTTTGTGTCTCTTGTAGAGTTATGGTCTCTGTAATTGATCTCTTCAATAAAACTTATGTAATGTTGAAACACTCCTATAATAATTGCATAGGTACTCGAAAATTATCTTGAAATTGGGTACACATCATGCAAGTTGGAAGCAGATTTGTTATGAAATAAAATCCTTAGCACTAAAGAAGAATAGGCAGATTTTTATGGAGATTAAGTCATGACTTAGTAAATTGGCAAAGATGATGCAGCACCAAGGACCTAGCAGAATCAAGAAGCAGTCTTGGCCTTGGTACTATACGAGGGATGAGATGCGGAAGGTAGAGCAATGCAGTTCCTTGTGATTGAGGATGGTGTAATGTGGCATATACTAATCTACTTCTCTCCCTCCTGACCTCTGTCCTCATCTCAGTACATTCAAATGTTTCTGTTCAGATAATGTTCATTCTGTTTCTCCTTGATTCTATGTGTCATTCTGTGTTTGTACCTTTGGTGAAGAGATTTTTCGTGGAGAGAAATCAATTACAACAATATCATTCCTTACTTTAATTTTTTAAACACCGTTGCATAAATGTAGTATGTGTACTTGTTAATGTGCTCATAGAGTACAAGATACTATGATTAAAAATGATGTATGATTTAAAATGATTAATATTATAAAGCATTAATATTAAAAATACTAATGATTTTTTTAATTCCTGCAAATT